CTTTACATTAGGTTCACTCTTGGTATACATTCTGTGGGTTTGGACACATGTATCCAAATACCATTATAGTACCACACACAGTATTTTCATTCCTTTAAAAATCCTCGGTGCTCTGCCTAGTCATCCCTCCCTCCCTGCTAACCCCTGGCCAACCACTGATCTCTTATTATTGCTACAATTTTGCCATTTCCAGAATGTCACATAGTTGCAATTATATAACATATAGCCTTTTCAGATTGACTTCTATCACTTACTAATATGCATTTAAGTTCCTTCCATGTCTTTTCATGGCTTGATAGCTCATTTCTTTTTAATGCTAAATAAATTTCATTGTATGAATGTACCACAGTTTATCCATTCACATATTGCAAGGCATCTTTGTAGCTTCTAAGTCTTGGCAATTATTAATAAAGATACCATAAACATCCATATGCAGTTTTTTGAGTAAACATAAATTTCTGCTCCTTTGGGGTAAATTGCTACATTATATGGTAATAGTGTATTTAGCTTTGTAAGAAACCACCAAACTGTTTTCCAAAGTGGCTGTACCATTTTGCATTTCTACCAGAAATGATTGAGAGTTCCCGTTGCTCCATATCCTTGTCAGCATTTGGTGTTGTCAGTGTTCTGGATTTTGGCTATTCTTATAGGTGTGTAGTGGTATCTCATTGTTTTAATTTGCAATTCCCTGATGACATGTGATGGAAGCACCTTTTCACATGCTTATTCGCCATCTATATATCTTCTTTGGCGAGGCTTTTGTTAAGGTCTTTGACCTGTTTTTTAATCGAGTTGTTTGTTTCCTTATTGTTCAGTTTTTTAAGAGTTGTTTGTATGTTTTAGATAATAGTCCTTTATCAGATGTGTCCTTTGCAGATATTTTCTCCTAGTCTGTGGCTTGTCTTTTCATTCTCTCGACAGTGTCTTTCACAGAACAGAAAATTTTGATTTTAATGAATTTAGCTTATCAATTCTTTCTTTGATAGAATGTGCCTGTGGTATTGTATCTAAAACATTATTGCCAAACCTAAGATTATCTAGTTATCTCCTGTGATGTCTTCTAGGACTTTATAGTTTTGTGTTTTATATCTGGGTCTGTGATCTATTTTGAGTTAATTTTTGTGAAGGATGTAAGGTCTGTGTGTAGATTCATTTGTTTGCATGTGGATGTTGAGTTGTTGTAGCACCATTTGTTGAAAAGACTATCATCTCTCCATTGTGTTACCTTTGCTTCTTTGTAAAGATCAATTGACTACATTTGTATGGGTCTGTTTCTGGACTCTCTGTTCTCTTGCATTGATCTGTTTGTCTCTCTTTCACCAGTAGTACCACACCGTTTTGATTACTATAGCTTTATGGTAAGTCTTAAAGTTAGTTAGCGTTAGTCTCCAACTTTGTTTTCTCCTTTAATATTGTGTTGGCTCTTCTGGGTTTGTTCTTTTTTACAATTTCTATTCATCTGATAATAGTTCCTATCTGTCTATTTGTTCACTCATCAAGACTTTCATTTTTTTAAAACATATTTAAATAGCTGCTTTTAAAGTCTTTGTGTGATACGTCCAACATCAGTGCCATTCTAGGCCAGTTTCTATTTACTGCTTTTTTTCCCCTTAACTTTGGGTCATATAGTCATACTTCTTTGCATATCTAATAATTTTTTGTTTGTGTGCTGGACGTTGTAAATGAAACTTGATGGAGACTCTGAATTCTATCATTTTGCTCTGAAGAGTATTTCCTTTTGTTCTCACAGGTAGTTCAGTTACTGGCTGTTCACCTTGAACTTGTATAGGCTTGGCTTTATGCTCTGTTAGAGCAGGTCTGTGGAAATCTCAGGGTCATTCCCAGGCTTCTCTGATGTGGTAGGACCAACTTCCAGACTGCCTGACATCCAGACCTCTTAGGGCTTGGTTTCCAGCTTTGTCACAGTAGGTCTAGAGTGGACCCTGTCCGAAGGTGTGATCCTCATTCCTAAAGCCGAACCATGTGGCATCTCAGCTGGCCTTGGGCTGTCACACAGTCTTTGCACTCAGGCCTGGCTGGACCTGAGATCACTGCGGACCTCTCGTATCTCTTTTATTTAACCCTATAGCAACCACTGACTGGTAAAGTTGGCGTGGTGCCCCAAACATGCATAGCCCAACCTTGCACCAGACTCTGGGGACTACACGTGGCCTTCAGTCCCTCCACCAGCTTCCCGCCATGCCCTACAGTTTTCGGCTGCTCTGGCCGCCCCACCTCTGCCTCCTCAGCCTCACATGGCTGCTGTATTCTGCCTGGACTCACGGCCAGCACATTTCCCTAGGCAGAGAGCTGCTGAGGTGTTTGGGAGAATTATCACATCAGCTGCCCTTCCAGCCTATTGTCCAGTGCCTGGACACAGTTGCTTAGTATATTTTGTCCAATTTGGTGGCTGTTTATAGCAAGAGGATTGGCCTGGTACCAATTACTCCGTCATAGCCACTTTCCTATTATTCTTGCTTCATGAAATGACAAGACTGTTTGTTGAACAGATATTCATAGCTCTTCATTGTGAATTGTACCCTTTATTATTGTTAGGTATAGTATATAGTCTGTCTTAATGGTTATGGCTCTGAATTCAGTCTTCCCTAAGATTGTACCCCTGTTTCTCTTGCCTGCAGTCTCCTGGTATATCTTTGTCAGACATTCTTTTGGCATCTCTTATACGTAGCACAGATTTGGATTTAACTTTGTAATCAAATCATAAATCTATTGAGTATGTTTTTATTCCTTTATGGTGAAATACAAGGCCAAATAACCAGGAAACAAAGGCATGTGGTGTCATCGGGGGAGGGGGAAGGAAATAATGTTGTTTTGTCATTATTTACAGTAGAGTATCATATCATCTCAAATACGAGGTTGACTATTGTATCTTTGGCCCCAAATGACAAAAGATGAGCAAATAAGTGAACTTAACATCCCATCTCTCTTACTATCCTCCCTTATTTCTGTTACTTACATAACCGGATCTATAGCCATAATCCCCATATTATTTTAGACCTAATCCTACAGGTAAGTAGATTCAATGTTCTCTGCCAGATCATTTGCTGTAGTTCCCTAGTTCTCCCTTACAAGACTAGGGTTAATCTTCTAGTCCTTCAGGAAGAGCTTATTGGAGCATATTCTTTGAGTTCTTACATGTTCAAAAATGCTTGTCTGTTGTTTTTATAGTTGAGCGACAGTTTGGCTGGATATAAAATTCTTGGGCCATGCCTCTTTTCACAGCCATTGCAGGCATAACTCCATCACCTGCTGGCACAGATGTGGCCATGGAACATTCTGAGGATATCCTAAACCTTCCCTCATAAACTGACTTGATCTTTTTGCCTGACTACCAACAGGGCTTTTTAAGTCCAATGATTTTACGAGGTATATCTTAACATTGGCTATTCCATAGCCTTTCTTTGGACCTGATCATAAGACTTCAATTTTTGCAAATTAAACTTGATTTTCTAAGTCAGTGGATGCTAGAGCACCTCCGCCTGTCTTACACTTCTGCTGGTTTCTCTCCAGCCCCTCGTAGCTCTTCGTTTCTCTTTCATTTTGCCCACTCTGTACCATTCCTGCCTTCACTGTCTTGTGATGGGTCTCCTCTTACTGTTTCCAGTTCCCCTTCATTTCTTTGGGTTTTGCTTCCAGCTCTTTCCTGCGCTCTGCTAGTTCAAGTTTTTCCCTCTGTTCTGCTGCTTTGGGTTTTTGTTTGATAGAGGTAACTGTTTCATGAAGTTTTGCTTGTTAATTTATGGCAAAAAAGCTTATCGGTGATTTTCCATTTGCTTCCAAGGAACGTTGCCATTCGTTTTTTCGCATTTCTTTCCTCTTTTTTATCTTTGTGTTATCTTTGTAGAAATGGGTGATTCTCACTGAGACTGCTATAACCGCATTGGGAGGTGAATTAGGAGAAAAAGGAGTGCTGGTGAGGGATGGCGAAGGTGACTTCTGGGCAGCGACAGCTCATGGTACACAGGGCTAGGCCAAATGCAGGATTGGTGGAAGGAAGCGGCCATTTGGTGGTATCACAATGATAGCAAAGTCCCTGTCATTTAGTGTGTGGGACAGAGATGCCAGGTGTCCTGCAGTACAAGACATAGTCCTATGTAACCAAGAGTGGCCATTGTCACAAAGAGTTCTGGTTCCCTGTCTGCTGCAGGAGACACATCAGGGAGGCTTCATCACCAACCACTGACTAGTGTGGGGTGCTCAGCACCAAAGAGAGACCATCTTCCAATGACTTATCCATACACATGGGATGTGCCTGTGCAACTCCTTGTTTTATGCCAGCCTTCTTCTCAGATCCAGGTTAGAGACTAAGGCTTTGCCCATAGCTAATGTGGCATGTCCTGTAGCTACTCCTGCAATCTGAGTTCTTGGTGTTGTCCCCCATATGTCCCACCCTTCAACCCCTCTTGCATTTCAAGGTTTCACTTAATCTCTTAGTTTTGCTGAAGATGGAGTTTGTGTTTCTCATACTCGTGCTTTGGGGGTAGATGTGAGGTTTCTCCAGAATGAAGAAACACTGACTTTATATTGCTGTCAAGCTGGAAATGTTGCCTTTCACATAGACACTAGGATACAGTGTATTTCTGTGGTGAGAGTCAGTCCCCAGGACTCAGCCCACTGAGGTTTTTTTCTGAGGGCCTGACAGGGAGGGAATCAGAGTAGCCCCTACATTCCCCAAAGACCTCATGCAGGGGACTCATGCAGTGAGCTGCTCTGTGGGGCCTCAGGGGCTCTCTGAGGGAAGGGCCTGAAGTCCATCAAAACCCAAGGGTTCAGCCAAGGGCAAGGTCAAACCATTGCCTTCTGCAGGTCTGCTTCTAGCTCCCTCCCAGGAGGTAGGGAATATGTTTGCAGAAGTGTATGGCTGTCATGGCAGCCTGAGTTTCTCTCCTTGTTCCAGCTGCTGGACCAGCAGTGTCTGTGGGTGGGAGCCTCTGTGACAAGCCACCTAATGGTTCTCCCTGTCACTCTCAATCTCGTAGGTGTGCAGCACTCACAAACTCACCAATCCTGGGATCTCCGATGTCAAGATTAGGCCAGACCGCAAGATCCTGGCCACCGCAGGCTGGGACCATCGTGTTCGAGTGTTTCACTGGCGGACGATGAAGCCGCTGGCTGTGCTGGCCTTCCACAGTGCTGCCGTCCACTGCGTGGCCTTTGCTGCCGATGGCTTGCTGGCCGCAGGGTCCCGGGATCAGCGCATCAGTGTCTGGTCACTCTATCCACGCAGGTGACTTGCTTGCTGCCTGTTCAGGACATACAGAGGTCAGGGAGGTGGCACCGGAGCTTCCATCTGACCCGGGCATGTAGAAACCACGCCCAGGGACCTATGAGGGCGGCTGGTCACAGGTTCTCCTTCAGTTACGGGACGAGCTCAGTTTGTGGAGTCCTCACTTTCTGCACAACAGGGACTCTGGTTTACAAAGAGTAACCGAGCCAGACATCTGGGCATGTGCGGCCTGGGTAAGGGGCCAACCTGGGGGTACTTTACAGTAAACTTAAGAATTGCGAACCTGCAGGCTTGAGGAGTGACTCTCCAAGGCAACAGCCCTGGTTTATTCTCAGGGTCTGAGCCAGACCCTCTACTGGTGGGGTGGTCAGCCCCTGTTCAACAGGGGACACTGAGTGTGGTCCCTAGGTCCTGCCGACTCCTTGTGGCTCCTCACCCCAAAGACAGCCAGGAGCTCCTGACACACAGCGCTGATGCCAAGACAGTAGAAGGAAGTGACTGACTCCTAAGGGAGTGAGGCAGAAAGAGGGTACCAAGGAGGGACAGCAAAGGTAACTGGGCAGAGAAAGCAGTGGTGTGGGGCCAGGCCGAACGCAGAATTAGTGGGAGGAAGGGCTGCCCCAAAGAGAGTAAGCCCAGGAATGGCAAGGGACCACGTCCAGGGCAGCTCTGGGCGGAAAGCACAGCCACATTAAATGAGACAGGCCAGGCCCTCCCAGCAACCAAGGCACAGTTATAGCTGACACCACACACACGGGGCAACTGGGCATTAGCAGCCAGAGCAGGCGGTGCACCCAGAGTCCCCTCCCGTGTGTGGCTGAGCCCTACCACCAGGGCATCATCCTTAAAGCTGGGCCATTGATAGGGAAGAAATAGGACCCTGAAAATTATAATGCGGTCTGTGGGCAAATCCCGATGAAGCTGGGACCCGCAAACCCCTTCATTTTGCTGGCTTCTTCGCATGAAGAGCCCCCTTGGAGCCCTGCCTGAGGAGTTCAGCCCTCCTTCACCTGAAGGCCCTGGCATAGCCTCCCCCAAGGCCGGGCCTTGTGAGACAGTCAGGACCTCTAGCCCCACCCTGCTTTGCTTATAACTAGACTCAAGTCCCAGCAGGCCCCCAAGGGTGAGGTACAAAGTGTGACCCGTGAGGAGGTGGCTACACTCCAAAAGAGCTGCGTGGTTTTCCCAGCTTATGCAGGCAGAAATCTGGAGAACACGTGTGGGATCCAGGTGGCAGGAATATGAGGTGCATCAGGCCTAATCCACTGAAACAGGTCCACTAACAGAGAGTCTGGACTTGATGCTACAGCTCAAGGGGTTAGAAATGGCTCCAAGGTCTGGTTGATTGTTTAAAACGTGGCCTATAAGGCAGGTACGCTGAGTGGAGTTGAAATGCCAGAGCTGCCTTGGGATGCCGCAGGGGCTCAGGGAGATTAGGGTATTTTAGGCAGCTTATGTTTTGAGAGCTGCTTACCCACTGTGGGAGGGTCCCGAGGACATGCCTTTCCCCATGACCATGACCATGAGGAATATATCCGTGAGAGCAGCCTGGCATCCTTGAAGAACTCTGCAGTCTTCTCTGTAGTTCAGACACTACAGTGGGAGTTGCTGCCACAGAACAGGAATAGTTAAATGCAGTGGGATCCTGGGGCAGCAAGGCCTAGTCTAGTGGTGGCACTCAATTGCTAAAGACAAGGTGGACATGATTGTTGTGGCCAGTGGGGTTGCAGCAGTAGTCAGCAGTGTGACCCATAAAGTCACAGGCGTGGGCTGGTGACTATGGGTCCTTGGAAATGGAATTGACAGATAGTCTGACTTGGTCTGCATGAGCCGATCTAGCAAACAGACATCTGACCTGGGACTCCAAAACAGAGGCCTGGCCCCTCAATCCCAGACCCACACTCATTGAGGAAAGACCCCGCTACACTGCTGACAGTGTACTGCTGATCTTCACCCACTCTACCCCAGAGGCCTATGGCTGCTTCCCTGGGACTGAGCACTGTCCCAGGAGGGCAACCCTGAGCCTGAGCTCACAGACCTCCCTTGCTGGCCCTGTCGGACAGAGGTGCTGCTAAGTGCCATTCCAGCATCTTTGGGAGGGACCATGCCAGTCCCTGAGTGTTCTGTAGCTGGGTCACTGGGACATTGGAGGATGTATCTGGAGGGATGTCGCTATCACGAATGTCTCTGTGAAGGAGCAGCTGTTTTGGCTACAGCAACTCAAACCTCATCAGACATGAAGGAAGCTGCTGACCTGAGCTGTCAGGTCAGAGATGATGGAGGTGGGGGGCCTCACCAAGCTGCAGTCTGACCATGGCTCCCACAGCAGGCCACGCGCAGGGTGTCCTGCTAGGGCAACGGCCATAGTCTGTCAGGGCCACCTCATAACATGCATCATCTTCCTCATCTGCAGAGGGCGCTGCTTGCTAACACGGGTGAAGGCAGCAGGGCACGGGGTTGTGGGCGGTCATTTTGGAAGGTGAACTTCTGCTGGTCCTGTCCATGGCTAGGCTTTTGCATTTCACACATACCTCCCTGACCTCCAGCAAAGCTCCCATAGCCATTTCTAGGAACTTCTAGGCCCCATAGACTAGACCAGAAGTGACAACAGCCATAGACTCATGCCAAGTAGCAAAGAACTCTTATCAGACAAGTCTCCAAACCCACCCGGCCTCATTGTGGTAGCAAATTCATGAACATAGCACAGGGCCAACAGCAACGTCCATCCTCACAGATGCTAGGGAGAGTGAGGCTGCGCTGCGGAGACCACCTCAAGAAAGGGGCGCCTCTCTGGTATCCTGCGCCCTGCCAGAGCCCTGCCCAAACACTGCCACACTGGGACACTGCTATGAATGCCCAACCTCAGCTTGGATCCCAAGGCACCAGGCCCTGGGCTGGTGGTGCAGCCTCAGGAGGCTGTGAAAACGGACTCTAGCTAAGGGAATATGCCCCTTCCCCTGTTTAAGTACATATCAGCTCAACAAGAATCTTGGTGACTCTATCTGCCAGAATCACTGTATTTACAAAAACAGCCATGAAGAGTGTGTTCCAGACAGAGTACTACAAGTCAGCACGAGGCTCGCTAAAGCCAGAGCTGCTTCCAGAATGTCTGAGGTGAGCCGTGTGTGTTGACTGCCAGCATGTTCTTCCTAGAGATGGTAAAGAGGTGTCTGTAGACACAGACCAGCGTCTGTACATGGCCCTCACCTTCACGTTGAAAACACGAGCAGAGGTGCACAGAGGCTCATGGGCAACTGACCTGAGCTAGGCTCCAGGCTGCCCAGTGAGCCTTGTGGCAGTGAACCATGTCCTGGAGACACCTTGTGGCTGAACCTCAGTGTATGAGGGCCGAGGTGAGCTATGACAGCCCCCACAATTTCTGTGTTCCTGACATGGCCTTCTGCACTGTGGGGCCTTGTGCCTGGGTCTGGGTTTATAAGGCAGCCTTCGAGGCCTAGTGGACGGAAAAGCTGGTGGCTGGGAATTTTATTTACTCAGCTGAGCTGCGTAGAGCAGCGACGACTCCAGCTGAACTAGAATAGATGGCGTACAGACTAGCGGGGCCCTCTGGGTCCTCCTCTGGGGTCCGCCTCTGCACCCACGGTGGGACCCATGGTTTTGCACAGCATGGCCTCTGTCAACAGGACCTTGGACATTAGCAAATCACCACAAACCTGAACAGACTAGAGCAGCGACGACTCTAGCTGAACTAGAAAAGATGGCGTGCAGACTAGCGGGGCCCTCTGGGTCCTCCTCTGGGTTTCTCCTCTGCACCCACGGTGGGACCCATGGTTTTTGCACAGCATGGCCTCTGTCAACAGGATCTTGGACATTAGCAAATCACCACAAACCTGAACAGACTCAAACCTCCCATACCATAAGAAACAGGGGCCCCAGTTCCAGACGCCTGGACTGGGGAAGGTGCTTCATGTTAGCAAAGCCTCACATTGTCCTTGTCCTATCCCCAGGGTCAAGTCGGACCTGACCCGGTGCTGGGAGCTGGTTGTGCTGTGGGACCCAGGTGTGCAAGGGCACTGCTATCTTCCACCAGCTGGGCAGCCTCCTTCGTGGAAGGGCTTGAGCCAGTCTCTGTCCAGGGTGGGCTGCAGGGTGGGCACAGGCACTGTCCCTGCGGCTCTCACATAGGACAGGCAGGTGCTCTGCAATGAGGATCTTCTGTGCAGTTCCAAATTGCTCCTCAGCAGAAGGCTGCATGTGCCCTTATGGTCTCTTTGATGTTAACTTCAAGCCCTTTATGTTCTGGAAATGGCTTCTTTGTTTTTCTTTACATGGATGCTCACGGCAGCTTTATTCATAATAACCCCAAACTAGAAACAACTGAAATGTCTATTTGCAGATGAGTGGAGAAGCAAACTGGTCTGAGCATACGGTGGATTTCCACCAACCACAAAGAAGAACCTGACTAGACGCTGTGGAACTGGGGTGGAAGGTGTAGTAGTGGGCAGTCAGCTAAGGCCCTGGTGGGCCAAAAAGTTCAGTGCAGCCCCTGGATCTCCCTCAGACCATGTGGGGTATCTGCCCAGGTGGGTTTATATGAGGTGCCCTTGGGGAGACGCTCTCACGGAGGCTGTTCTGGGCATGGCCTCACGATGCTCTGAGAAGCCCCGGGGGCCTCGGGCAGAGGACGATGGGTGGCCTCACACTCCAAGCAGTTTCTCCAGTTTCCATTTTACCACTATACAAAAGGCTTGCTTTTCTCAAAAATGTTTTCACATATCCCATGTCAGTCCATAAACCTGTCCTTGACCTGTCCAGTTGCCGGGGCTGCTCTTCAACCTGTTAGACAGGAGAGAGCAGAGCTCAGGTAAGGCCTCCAGCCTTCACCTCAGGCCATGTGGGAAGCCCCACTCCTGATCACACACCTGGAAGCTGGCAGTACTGGTGAATTCGCTGATGGCGTATCTCCCTGTCCCCAGGGGTGGGTTGGGGCCAGGCCGAGGGCAAGGAGGCAGCATCAAGCCATCCTAGGCCCTGCATGCCCATGTGCCTTTGTGTCAAAAAAAAAACCCTGGGTCCCATACAGCCAGCCACGTGTGTCCATGGCATCTAATTGGTTTTGCAAAATCAGCCCCATGATTTTATTCCTGATTCCAAAGTGGCTTTTCTGGCTACTTTAGCAGTTAACTTAAGGCCTGAGGACTTAAGCACTGTCTTATTTAAGAGTCATTTTAATTTTGCACAGTCCACAGTGGCTAAACCGTGCCACAGACATCAACATTATCTTCTCAGTAGTCAGCCACTTCCTGTGAGCTGGCAGAACCACAA